ATCGCCCATTGAGTAGCGGAGGAAGAGACACCCAATATCGTAGCAACTGCTGTTTTCAACTTCTACCATCTTTGTACTTCTTCCTTCACATACTTCTAATCCCCGAGACATGTCTCAGGCATAGCTGTGGTTCCCACTTGAACTAGCTGTGATGGAGACGCAAGTCCCGGGGCAACCAGTGCCGGTTCAAACTGATTGGCCTGAATGGTCATGTGACACAAGCCAGTCCAATCAGAGCAAACAACAGTCTTCAAGGCAAACCAGCTCTTCTGGGTTTCGGAAAGGAGACCCCGCCTGAGGAGGGGCCCATGTTCAGGCAGGCTTGAAGGGAAGCACGGAAGAGAAATTGGTGAAGGGCTGACAAAAGCAAACCTGACTAACAGCCAAGTCCCCGGGGCGTCAGTAGTCACAGGGGACAGCTAGGTCCCCCGCCCCCTACATGTTAGACTCAGGGAGTGACTGTTCCCAGAAGAGGATCACGTTGTCCCAGGGAACTGCTGGGCATTTTACCCAGACCAGTGCCTTATAGCTTGCCCAAGACTCTGAACTCCCTTAAAAGACACTTCAATAATATTCTATGCAGAGAGGTTGAAATTTCCCTCAAAATATAAAGAAGGGCTCGTAAGGGACTACAGTCATGGTTAGCGATTCCCAAAGAGGCCTTTGATTGTGGTGAACAGTGTAATTCTTTCGAAACCGGTTTTCTTTTTCACCTCAGAGGCTGGACAAACTCTTGGAGTTTTCCTTGGTGATTGCGAAACAGTAGCGAAGTCTTTTTAGGAGAAGAGAAATAAACTGGAATTATCTGATAGGCAATCTGGATCCCTTCCCCTGCCCTTTCTTTACCATATCACCAAGATTTCTGGCTCTGGGTACCCACTCTAAAAGAAACTTCTTTATTTAATTAAAATATAATTGCGGAAGGGAGGGAGAAGGGAACTGGGATCGCCATGCAATTCAATCTTGTTTGTAATTCAAATATATATAAAAAATAAAAGAAACAGCAATTACCGTGTTGAACTGGCATTGTACAAAAATTAACAGCCATATTGGTCTAGAAAAAAAAAAAGAAACAGCAAAAAGAAAAAAAGAAAAAAAATATAATTGCATTACCTCACACCCTCCCGCCCCCAGCCTTCAACTCCTCCGTGTCTTTTCCTCCTCAAATTCATGGCCTCTTTCTCTCCAATTAATAATATAATTGTTATTGTATTGTTACATATATATACAAATAAATATATAAATGCCACCTGCCAAGTCTATTTAGTTTTGCTTGTTTGTATATATTTTTATGACTGACCCCTTGGGATTGTATAACCATATAGGAGCAAAGTCCCTGGGGAAGATTAATTTTCTCTTTTTCTCAGCAGCCTTTAATTGCTTGCAGCTCTTTATCTAGGGTCCCAGGAGAATTCTTCCATCACTGTTAGCTTGTCAAGGGGTGTTGTTGTTGATTGGGTCTTGATTAAGCAGCCGTGATGTTGACATTTCATGGGTGTACCTTTCTGTCAGATCTAGAAAACAATCTTGCAGCAGACTTCCTGGGCCTATGGCTCTTACAGACTTTCTGCCCGGTGCTCTGCAATGTTCCCTGTGCCTTTGGTGCAGGGGTTGTGTTGTATATGTATCTGAATGAGAAGAAAAATAAAAAAGGAAAGGACAGGACTGGTCCCAGGTTTCAGCACCAGATGAATGGGGAAAAAAGAAATAAAGAGGAAAGGTCCTGACTAGGTGTGGTGGAGGAGAGAGTTTATTGCGATAAAAAAGGGAGAGTACAGCCGGAAGCAGGCTCTTCTGGGAGAGTCCAGGGTGAACTTAACCAGACCGAGCCGGCCATGTGAGGAGAGGGAGGGAGAGAGGGGAGAGGGAAGGGGCAGAGGCGAGAGCCAGACCAAGAGACCAAAAAAGAGGGTAGGAAACCAAAATGAATGGATTATATATGGAAGGGCATCTGGGGGAAGGAGAAGTTCAGGGCAGGGGCAGGGTGTGCCGGCTATACTCTATAACTGACAGGGGCTGGAGGATGCGGGAGAACCTGGTGGCCAGGTCTGCTTTGATATGTTAATGGACACCTCAGCAGTTTTGATTCCTAGCATCTTCAGTTGGGGCGGGGCTCTGCAGTCAGTCAGTCCTGTGGGGCGGGACACTTCAGTAGCTGTGGCTTTATGTCATAGTCTCTGTGTGCTGCCGAAAGATGACTTTTTGATGAGGAGTGGGACCTACACTTACCCAGGAGCTGCTTCTTAACACCCCATCTTCCACCACACCACAGACATCACTGTTTTCCACCAGAGTGAGTCTGGCCATTTCTCCTACCAGTCTAACTGCAGTTTGTAAGAGACTCCTAAATTCTGGAATTTTTTTTCCCCCTCAACTTTCGAAAATGGAACTCACGGTGAAAACCAAGGGTTAGGATAAGGCATTAGGAAAATATATAAGTGGGGACAGAGGAATGTTTTCTCACAAATCATGTTTTTTTTTGTTTGTTTTTTGCTTTTGTTTTTTTGTTTTTCAAGACAGGGTTTCTCTGTGTAGCTTTGGAGCCTATCCTGGCACTCGCTCTGGAGACCAGGCTGGCCTCGAACTCACAGAGATCCACCTGCCTCTGCCTCCCGAGTGCTGGGATTAAAGGCGTGCACCAACGCCCGGCTTCAAATCATGTTCTTATTGAAACTGAGTATATTCTCACAGCCATGCCAGGGAGGGATTGGCTCTATACATGACAGTCAAATTCATCTCAAACATACATAATCTCAATAAATGTCTATGTCTCTGGCATTATGCTTGCAATATGCCCCCAAACACACACACACACACACACACACACACACACACACACACACACACACACACACACACACACACACACACACACCACAGAGGCTGCCAGTTTCAAGATAGGTAAAGGGAAACTAATGGCTGGGATCTGCTCATGCCTTTGGGAGACTGTGACAGCTGTCCTGAGCTGGTGGGACATGTGAATGAGTCCACATGGTCTCTTGAGTTGTTTTTATTTTTTTAAGTCAGTCACAGGAATGCACCGAGAAAGGAATGGGGCACATGCTCAGAGAGAGAGGGAACAGCAGGGTAAGAATGGTTGTGTAGGGCTGGAGAGATAGCTCAGAGGTTAAGAGCACTGACTGTTTTTCCAGAGGTCCTGAGTTCAATTCCCAGCAACCACAAGGTGGCTCACAACCATCCGTTATGAGATCTGGTGCCCTCTTCTGATGTGCAGATATATATGGAAGCAGAATGTTGTGTATATAATAAATAAATAAAATCTTAAAAAAAAGAATGGTTGTGTAATTAGAGGCTTGCTTCTAGGCCTGGCATGGCTGTGTTTTTCTTGGGAGCATATGGGCCCACACAGGGACACTGCTATCTTTTTTGTCTGTTTTCAGCTCAGGAGACTTCCATACCACTTCTAAAGTTCTACCTTACTGTGCATATATGGCTGGCCATCCCAGTTGGTTTAGTGCTAACTGACTAGCTGGCCATTCTCGGAGATTTAGTTATATACCTATAAGAATTCAAAACAATCAACATGCTTTTGACTAGGAAACTTTTACCTCTTCTAATCTGACAGAAAGACACTTTTATAGATGTTAAGAATGGGCAGATGATAAGTCAACCCACCTACCTTTACCATAACTGTGTAGCAGGAGGTGCAGGGATCTTGCTAGGAGAGGCTGGGAGGAGATGGGAATGAAGCAGCTGCAGAGCCTGTGAGCCACCTGCACATTCAAGAAATGGAAAGGTGTGGCTTCTGGGGAGCCGGAAGCGGATGCCAACTGGCTCACTTACTGAGGTACTGAAGGAGGGACATGTGAGTGACATGAGTGAATGGGCCCACAACTGGACAAGTGGCTTCTAAGCGGCTCAGGGGACTGATAATTCTGAGGAGGTAGCGATAGTGTCTTTTGTTTCTAAGTGTATCCTTAGAACACAGTATCTGATATGTAAAGAATTCAGCCTTATGTAATTGCCCAAATGAATGAATGAATTCAAGAATAAGTACCAGGTGCACCGAGGGCAGGCAAAGCCAGGCTTTGGGGATGCTAAGTTTGAATCTTGACTGTCCTGGAAAGTCAATGAGTTAAAGCTTGGTCCCTAAAGAGGTGCTATTTAGAATTGATGCAACCTTGAAGAGAAGGAGCCTAGTAGGAGGTCTTCAGGTAACTGGAGTTGTTGTCTTGAAGGGGATTGTAGGATCCTGTCACTCCTTTACTCTGCCACATGCTCTTGCTGCAAGGTGACACCCCATCATCGGTTAAAGCATAAAGACCACAGCTACCAGCAGAAACTTCCAAAGCTGTGAACCAAGCATCCATTCTCCCTTGTTAGGGATTTGCTACAGAAATGGAGGGCTGACAGACACAGAAGACAAAGGTAAAGAGTATGTGGATGAGTGGAAGATGACGTCACTCTTGGTGGGGTTTCATCAGCATCTCCTTGTATCGGTCTTAAGGCCCAGGAGCAGCAATGACACATTCATTGTCTTAGAGCTCTGATTTTAGGCAGGCCAGCATCCTCTTGGCTTTCTGAGAGCCACTTGTATTGCACCTGTGGCCAACACTTGTACCTGAGGAAAATAACTCTTTAACCACAGACTACACTAAGAGTCTTTGAACAAGCCACAATGAACAGATGTCAGTCAGATTTTTTTTTTTTTTTAAATCCTGGGCAACTGTAAGGGAGTGTTCCTAAGGAGCAGACAAGGAGGTAAATTTGATGAGCTGTAGTTACATAAGGAGAGCCATTACAAATGGGGTCTCAAGACTACTTAGGGCCCTCAGAAACAGATCATTTTGGAGGCTTTATTATGTTTGTGGGTGCTGGGAGCATCTGTTCTTGGGGTTTAGAATGGCAGCGGGACCCATGAGGAATTTCTTTGTACAGCCCCTCTTGGTCATCAGTGATTTTTCTTACAGGTGGCTGAGTCTGGGGACCTTGGCTTTCCCTGAGGCTGAACTTGGTGTGCATTTTCTGGCAGGCCATGGTCAGAAGGAGATGACAGTAGCATTGGCACAAGCCACAGTAGCACGGTTTTCATTGTACAGTTCCAACAAAACCTGGTATTCACCCTGCAAGGGACACAGGCAAAGCGTTAGGCATCTGATCCACAATACAATCAATCACTTAATACATACAGCCAGTTTCTTCTCTATTCAAGGACAGCACCATACATAAAAAGTTGTCTCTGTGCCAAACATGTTTAGACTTCTTTGTCTTGTTGAGATGCTTTGTACAGTCTAGTATAATGATCAACATGGGGCTTGTATGATATCAAACATTATAAGTTATCTAGAAATAATTAAAGTGAACCCAAGCATGAGCATAGGTTATATTGCAAAGACTATGCTATTTTAAATAAGGTTTTGAGAATCTTGTATTAAATGTTTTTCAATTACATATATTTATCTATCTCTATATATTTTAATGTATGTATACTTGCCACAGTGTATGGTTGTATATGTTGGGGGATGTCAAAGGACAACTTGTGGTTATTGGTACTTTCCTTCCACCATGTGGGACCAACCCCAGTACAGAACTCAGATCATTAAGCACCTTTACTTGCTAAGCCATCTTTCTGGCAATATCTGTGGATTTTGTTGTTTGAGGGGGTCCTGGAACCTATCCCTCAAAAGTACTGAAGAATTGAGCACCTTATATGTGCATGGTTCCAGATGCTGCAGATAAACTAGAACAACACAGACCAACTCCCTGCCCTGTATACCTTGCATTTATTTCACTGGGAGAGATGAAAAGTTCCCAGGGTAAGGAATGCTGCAGATGCAGCTGCTATAGAGAAATTCATGCAGGAAACGAATGCAAAAGTCAGCTGGGTTCAGTGGGATTGATGTTAGCTTGCAACTCTAAGTAGAATGATCAAAGAGAGGCTTTGGAGAGAGAATGACCTTTAGGCAAAAAGTTGAAGGAAATGCAAAAGAGTTCCAGGTGACTATGGTGCCAATGTCTCCATATCTGAGAAACAGATGAGAGTCAATGAGACTTCAGGGAGGAGGGAGAGAAAGGGAGATTGGAAGCCCATAGGAGACCAGAGTCTCAGGGCCTGGCAGACATGATGGGGTGTTTGCTGCAAGTCTGAAAGGGACTCAGGTGTGACAGTTTTCTCAGGCATGTTAGGAATATCTCTCTGGCTGCTGTTTAAAAGAGGCTGGTAAGTGCCATTAGCCTGAAAGAAGTTACAGCATTTGAAGGAAGGGGCTCTAGATTATGAATGGCAAGACACACACGCTTTTATATAAAGGGTGAACTCATTCAGAGAACCTTTCTGAGGGCAGAGGGAGACATGGGCTACATGATAGGCCAGGGTAGGGGCAATGGACAGAGATCAATCTGTTTCTGGGGCTGAGGTGGGCACTAAAAGTTCGGGATAGAAGTATGTATCCATGTCCTTGGCAATTTATAGTTCAGGCTATACCAAGAAAGTGTCCATATGTTTTGGAAGATCAAAGGATCGCTCACTTTTAATTCAGAAAAGAGAAGACACAGAAAAATACAGGATTATATACAGGACTTTAATTTGGGTTAAGATATTGTTGTGTTGAAAGGAAAACAAGCTGGTGGAGAGGGCTTTATATAAATAAGGTGGTGCTATCCTTTCTCAGCACAAGGAAATGATAACAATGGCTATGCCAATTGTCTTGATCTGGTTAATATATACTCTGCATGTATCCTGAGATGTCACATTGAGCTCTATAAACTTGCATAATTATTACCTATCAATTAAAAGATACGTTTTACACTAGGGAGGTGGCTTAGTTGGTATAAAGTTTGATGTGCAGAATTTGTATCTCCAGAATCTCTGCAAAAATCCAGAGGTGGCAGTGTGCCCCTAAAATCCTAGCAGTGGGAGTGGGGGGTGGAGAAAAGTTATAAGTAGACTTTTCTGTCCCATCAGCCAGTTCCCAAATAACCACACAGAGACTTATTATTAATTATAAATGCTCAGTAGATAGCTCAGGCTTGTTACTAACTAGTTCATATGTTTTAAATTATTCCATATTTATTATCTACACTCTGGCACATGGCAGTACCTTTTTTCAATGCACCAAGTTCATTTCCTTGACTCCCGAGACTTTGCCCTTCTTCTTCATGTTCCGTTTTTGTCTGCATGTCCTTCCTAACCTTTACCTGTCCAGTTATTGGCCAGCCAGTTCTGTTATTAATCAATGAGTGTAATACACATTTACACTGTTCAAGGATTGTTCCACAGCAACAAGTGGATCCCTGAAGCTCATTAGCCAGCCAGTCCAGCTGAATTGATGTGCTGAAGGTTCAGTGTGAGACATTGTCTCAGAAAATAAAGGTGTAGGGTGGCAAGATAGCTCAGTGGTAAAGGTGCCTTTGCCAAGCCTGATAATCTGAGTTTGATTTTCAGACCCACATGGTGGAAGGAGACAACTGACTTCTGCAAGTTGCCCTTTGGCTCTACACATGCACTGTGACATGTGCCTACAACACACACACACACACACACACACACACACACACACACACACACACTAAATGTGAAAAATAGAGATGGAATAAGATCAAGAAAAGACATCCAATGGAGACCTCAGGTCTCTCTACACACACATACATCCTTTTACACATCCTCCTGCATGCACATAAGTACACACCTACCCTAACAAGTATGTACCACACACACATACACACATAAGTAAATTCGTAAACACATTTCAAAAAAGAGGAAAAATAACCAAGATACTGGAAAGTAAATACTGAGTGGAAAAGTTTTTGGCTAAAGAGGAACCTCTGTTAGTTCAGAGACCATCTCTGGGGGTCTAGGTGAAGGAGGGGATATGAATAGGCCCTTCATTAACATGTTCTCAACTAACTGCTCTTAGGAAAGCAGAGGCTCTCCGTGTGGGCCCTGGTTGTGAGCTGGGAGCCCTGGGCACACTGTGGCTGTTTGTGGCCATTGTTGTCAGCCCTCTTGAGATCAAGGTCCTCAGCTATTCTGCTGGATAGGCCTGTGTGGAATGTGTCCCAGGAGACTATGTCCTCTGCTGAGTCTCCAGGCTGGGTGTGGGTAAGGAGCTTGCCAGGTATCTGCTTCCCAATACAGGCCCCAGAAGAGGAGGGGAACCAGGCTCAGGACTCCTGACTATGATTCTGGCTAACATTGGAATGTATCTCTTGGAGAGTTGTTTATTGGTTGAAGAAGGCAGGGAAGGAGTTTCCTGCAAGCACCATAGATGACTACAATATGGTTCTCACTTACAATGGTGGGAGATAAAAATGGCCTCAGTAGAATCTATACTTTGCATTTTGAATTTTAATTTTTCCAGGCCCGTGTCACACGCTTCAAACCTCCTTCCACGCTGAGCAGTGTTGGTGAGTCACAGTGCCTGGGCATCAGAATACATGATCAAATGACCAGCATTCTTCTGTGACCCATACTGCGAAGCCATGATGTTCTTCTGTAGGCTGGGTGAAATCATTGTATTTTCAATTTATGCTGTTTTCAACTCATGCAGAGTTTATGGGATGTAACCCTGAGTTTAGATGAGGAACATCTATAAGTCCCTTCACATCTCTGAGGGTAAATTTCCCGTCCAAGAGCTTCTATGACTTTAAGACCCTGCCCCCTTCATTTCATAGGAATTGCTAAGGGTAACTGATTTTTAAAAGCCAGCAAAGCAAAATGAAATCCAAGTGTTAGCAATTATTACATCAGTCTCTAGTGGGGTATCAGAAGAAAAACGAGGAAAGAAAAAGCATTCAAGTAGCAACAATTTGAAGAAACACTCCCTGGGAGAGTTCAGGCCGTGCATGCTAAGAGTGAGGAGAGATTGGGTTTCTCTTCCTGGCAGAAGTTGTGCATTTCACAGAAGGCCTACAGAAGATCACTGGAGAATTTCCCAAGACGGAGGGAGGGCTGGAGACTCCAGTTGTGAGTAGGATTCCTATGGAGACCCAAGAGGGCCTGTTCAAGGCTTAGGAGCTCACAGTGTGGGACAGGAGGGAAATCCACTCAGCTGAAACAAAGCTGAAGAGATTTCTTATAGAAGAGACTCTGTCTCCTTCAGGTTTCAGATGACAGAAAAGAAGAAGCTGAAAGCAAGATGTTTAAATGGCTACATTTTCTTCATGGTGTTCCATACCAATTTTTTTTCTTTTTTTTTCTTTTTTGTAGTAGGAGGGAAATGCATGGTGATGTCAGAGTCACTTAAATCCACAGGTTTCTGAAGTAATGTCATTTTGACTTTATGGGAAATCCTTGTCTTAGCTTTGAGTCTTGCTGGCGAATGCTCAGGACAGGCCTCTTCATTTACTTGGTGATACCTCACTGTAGCTTGACTGTCCTCACTATAAGTCTGTTGAAACTTAATCCCCAGCATGAGGTCAGAAGATGTGGGACCTTGTGGGACCTTTAAGAGGGATCGCCCTTGTGAGTAGATTCATTCATTCATGGACTAATCAGTTAAAGAGTCAATGGGTTTTCTGGGGAGTGGGTATGTTATAAAAACCACTTTGACTCCTTTTGTCCCTAATATCCTGTGCAGACTTAGGATGTTGCAAAGTCCTCAACTGCAAGGAGACCCTCACAGATGTTCCCCCTTTATCCTGGATGTACCATACTCTGGAGTGGTGGGCTAAGTACACCTTTACTCTTTTGTGTACACATATGTATGTGGTCATGTTTGTTACATGCGTGTGTGTGTGTGTGTGTGTGTGTGTTGAATATGTATACATAATTGTGTGTGTACATGCATGTGGAGAACACGGAGAATCGTAGGTGCCACTCTTCATGTGTCATCCACCTTTTTCCTTTTTTGAGTCAGGATCTCTCACTGACCCGAAACTTGCTAGGCTGGCTGGCCAGGAAGTTCCAGGGGTTCTGCCTGTTCCTACTTTTCTAGCATTTGGATTATAAGCATGTGCCACCTTGTTTCACTTTTTAATGTGGGCTCTGGAGATCAAACTCAGGTCCTCATGCTTCCAATGTGAGCACTTGCCCAGCTGAGCTATCTCCCTATCCTTGTTCTTTATACATTACACAGTAAATAAAGGCAGTCTAAAATCCCAAAAGACATATTAAGAGGATGGTAACTAGTGAGACATTGAAGCCCTTGTGGCTTTGTAAACTGTCCTTTCTGCCGGAAGCTAGTTGCCTTCTACACATCCCAAGCAACTGTAGCCATCTGGGGTCCCCACAGTCATACTCCCAATCCTGTGGACGAGATGCCGCATTTCAACTCTCAGTTGGGTTTGTTCTGGTTCACCCCAAAGCCTTCAACAGAACACCAATACAAAGCATCAGAAGGACAAAGCCAGAATGTTAAGCATGTCTCCCAATTATGGCATGTGCTAACACTTTCAACTACTTAAGTTTATTTATCCTCTTATTCGTCTTTCCTCATCCTCTTCCTCCTTCCTCATTTTCCTCTTATTCCTTCTCCCCTTCCTCTTTTTTCTCCTCCAGAAGTTGAAGATCTATCCTTCAGCACAATAATTACATAACAACTAAAAACAGAAAATTAGAACCTCACCTGGGGAACATCAAATCCAAGATTATTGACAGGGCCAGCATAGTAGATCTGCTCTGAAAAATACATAAAGCATAGATAACATCACTCATTTATTTAAGACAAACCCCAAAACAATGTGTCCATATCATTTGTGGCCATAGAGATGTAGGTCAAGTCTGGGTAACAAAACAAGAGTAGCCATTGATATAAAAGCTCTAATTTCCTGACTCCAAATGTATCTTATTTATTTATGAACAATAGTCTCTGTCCATATGTTGCTTGTTTTCCAATGCTGAGGCTGACAGTACAGAAATATCTGAACAGAGTGCTGCCTCCAGAGTGAAAAGTGCTGAAAGGAAGCGAGAAGGAAAGACTGAGTGAACTGAGTGGCCAAGAGTCCACTGCTGGGATGCAGGGATACAGGGTGAAACTCTGAAGCCACCTGTTCTAATGGTTTGGCCAGCCCTTTGCTCTTTACACTCTGTTACCTTGTTCCTAATATAGGTGTTATAATTAAAAAAACCATGTCCACTTCCTAGGCCTGGAAGAATGAAGAGTTAATGAACGTAACACCTGAAGAGCAGCCTGTGGTAAACTTTTACTACATCTGGGAAGAAGGGAGTGATGTTTTACAGGATGGTTGGTCAGAGGAGGTATGGCCATGGTGATAACAACTGACTAAGTCCCGAGGAACAAGAAAAAGAATTTTAAAGCAACAGCATAAAGACAAAGGCACTGATGTAGAAAAGCATCTAAGAAAGCATAAGGCCTGAGAAGGACGTGGCTTGGGCATCTGGGAAAATAGGAGTGCTATTCACTGAGATAAGGGGCCTGGAAGGAAAACGTGTCAGGGGAATGAAAGGGCTTGCTTTCTAAAATGACCAATGAAAGGGTCTTTGGAATTTGGGGGGAGAACTGGGGATGTGGCTACAAATCATTTGAGTCATTAACATGTAGCTAGCTTTAAAATCATGAGGCAAGATGAAACCTCAAGACAGAAAAAATTGACAGACAGAGGCGTGGAGGCCAGAAGCAACCAGGAGGCTCTCCAGCATTCGGAAGTTGGGAGAAGGAAAGGCATTCAAGAAAATGCCTGAACTGCAGAAGAGAAGGAATGAGTGGAGTGAGGAGGTTAAGAAGACTCACCCTGAGGGAAGCACAAACATAACTGTAAATGAGGAGAGCAGATGCAGACTAAGATCAGTGTTGACTGATTTGTAAAGTCAGGGAGCCTGACTTTTTGGTTTTCTCATTGAAAGTCACAGGCAGAACATGGAGGCCAAAGGCCTTGGGTGGCGAGAAGCAAAGGAAGCTATTACAATTTTCCTTCTGAACAATGTGGAAGGAAATTCCTTGAGAAGCAGCAAGATTCCTAGGATGCACTGAAGGCTTTGTTTTGTTTTGAGGTTTGTGTCCAGGAACTCCAAGACAGTGCATCGGTCCCAAGAGGACCATTGAGTAGCTTGGCTGTAGACAAGGGCTGGGTTCTAGACACTTTGTGTTTTTTTCCTCTTCTCTAAACACTGTGTCTGTTGCTGCTTATTGCTGGAGGAATCACATGGTGTCATGTCTATTATGTCTATTAGAAATAAGTCTAGCCACATTCAGGAGAGGTGAAGTGCCAGCTGTCCTCTTTTGAAGACAAGAACAGCAAAGAATTCTGGTCCCTCACGTAGTGGTGGTTGTCTTAATGGTCATGACGCTGCATCACTGGATTAAGAACAGTGAGTATTTTCACTGTGCTAAAAAACCCATCTTTCTCCGACCCCACTTCACAGGCTTCCTATCTCAGTCACATGAAGAGCCGGATTTTTTTTTTTCTAAATCTATTTTAAAACAGACCAACTGCTTGTTTTTAGTTAGCATACAAAACAATGGGTTCCACACTGACATATTTTTTTTCCTGTTTATTTTGAGACAAGGTCTCACATAAGCCTGTCTGGTCTTGGGTTTACTAAGAGTCTAAGGATGCTCTTGAATTTCCCGTCCTCCTGCCCTCCAAGTACCGTGACTGCAGGTACACTGTCCCCAGATAACATGTCAGTTTTCACACATGCTTATGGTGGTAGGAGAATAAGATGGAGAGGGAGGCTCTATAGGCTTCAAGAGTATCATGGGAAACAGTCCCAACAACAACAAACAGCCGTTAGCAGAATGACTGGAGACCATTCCTCACCAGGGCTACATGTAAGGGACAGAGCATGTGTGAGAACATACTTTCAAAAGCTGGGACCGGTGGATGCTATGTGAATGACTGTTAAGTCAGAATCTAGGGGCCTGGGCTAAGTTCAGGGTATCTGCCTGTTTGTGTCTGTTTCCTTCTCTTTCTCATATTAAAACCTAATGTATGCATGTCTCTCTGTACACACACATATCAGATCTGTGGAGCTGGAGTGATAGTCATTTGTAAGCTGTCTATGTACTGGAAACCACATTCTGTTCCTACGGTAAGTGCCCTTAACCACTGGGCTATCTCTCCAGTCCTGACTTTCTTGTTAATCGGCTGTCTCCATTTCTAAACTATCAGTGTTCCTGGTCCAATTCTTTGTTTCTGGATATAGGAATCTTGAAATCATATCAAGTAACCTCTGGAATTGGGTGCATGCCTACAACATACATTATGGTTCTTTGTTTATATTTACCCCCCTCTCCCATTTCCTCCCTTCTCATCTGCCTTCCTGCTGGTCCCCTTCCACCCTCAAAGCCCTTGTGCTTCTCTCTGTGTGGTTGGCCCCCTGTGGGCATGGGCCATGCTTACTTTAACGGTCTTGGGTGGCCCAGGGCAAATGACTTGAACTAGGAAGCAGAGATGGGTGGAAGGTCCAGTTCTCTTGGTCACTAGCAAAGTGACAGTGGGTAATATTACCACTCAGCTTCCAGACTCACAAAACAGAAATAGAAAAACTTCCTTCAGGGCCCAAGGAGGATTAGAGTCCTTGTCTGTAGCCTCATTGGGCAGAGTGTGGTCCCCAGGAAGGGTAGTGACAGTTGTCACTAGCTGTTTATTAGTCACCTCAGAGAAGTGTCATTTGATGGATTCTGACAGGTACAATGGCACTCAGTTTTTGGAAGTCTCGTGTAGAGACATCCACTTTCCTTTTTCACATTTTCAGCTTCAAAGATGGACACACACAGTGGTGTGAAGAACACTGTTTAGATGATTCCTGCTCTTCTCCGGTGATCACTTAGTGCCCGAGGGTTTGCTAATTTGTGCTCTTCACTCTTAACAGGTCCTTCTCTGGGAGAAGTTTTCACTAAATTGGTTTTCTATGCTTCACACTTTCAACTGGAGTTTTTTTTTTTGGGGGGGGGTGGGGAGCACGAAATTCCAGAGAATATCTGCGAGTAACTCAGGGAAGTGACTCTTTGTTGTTAACTCGGAAAAACAACACCTAAAATTAAACTCTCGTTCCTTTCCTTCTCAGGCCCTCTTCGTTTCTGAGACTCCTTTAATTAACATTCTCACTCTCCATACTATAAAAAGATCCCCAGGATACTTGCACTCATTTCTTCCTTTCCCTCATTGAAATAATTTGTTTTTAATGTGCAGACGATAGAAGAAATTCACTTCTTTGATTCTGAAAATGTTTCTAAAATATGGATCTTTTGTTTTTTTTCCTTATTAAAGAGAGTAAATTGACTTTAGTTCAATTGAACTTAATTTGATTGTCTTTTGGTTGGGCCAGAGATTGACATCATGCTTACTATGCAAATGCTGGACCTCCGAGCCCCATTCCTAGCCCAGAAACTCACTTCTATAGCATGGATTTTAAGTTTCCACAGGGTCCAGAAGACACAGGCTTGGGGTAAAGGACTATGCCTTGCTCCCTTGTTGGATGAGTCCCACTGACCTCAGGGAGAAGCTGGTATACTGGGGCTAGCTCTCTGTTTCAAGCTCTTTAGTTCTGGCAGCCCTGGCTGCATTGATCAAGTCCTTGGTAGGTCCAGTTAATTACTCTGTTCTGCTGGTATGTGGGAGGGCCCCTTCTTCAGCAGGTTCTACTGAGCTTGGCCAATTGTTCTGTCTTTTCTTCCTCAGAAACAAGGCAGAGGCTGGAGCATAGGTACTCCCAGAGTGGGGGTACTCCCAGAGTGGGGGGTGCTCCCAGAGTGGGGGTGCTCCCCGAGTGTTGAACTCTACTGGCAGCAGCTGCATCCTTTCTCAGGTCTTGCTGGAACCTCATTGGAATTTCTTTCCCCTTCTCAACATTTAAGCATCATTATAGTGTTTTAACAATATGAAAATACATAGACTAACAATTATGATGACAAGTTTATTAGTTTATGTAGAACAAGGGCTTCCTTTTAAAAGATGATTATTTTTATGTGCTATGCTGGGGTTTGAACCTAGAGCTTTCTCCATGTTAAGCAAGTGCTTGATCACTGAGCCACACTCTCAGGGCACCTTTGTTTACTCAGACTTTCTCTCAGGTGCAGAAGCCAGAGCATTTACTTTCCAGCTGACCATTGAAAGCCTCAAGCTGAATTAGATGTGTTAATAGCTGTCTTTTTGGGTGTAGCTGCTGTTTCTGTATGGAATCCACCTCTGAGTCTGCACTAGGCACTTCACCCAGTCCTGGCAGTAATTCCTTTCTGCGTTGGTTCTCTAGGTACACTTCCTCTTGCTTTGGCAGGGCAAATGGCCTTTGGCCATGTCTATGATGGCATTTCTACACTGAGTTAACTGAGGTGGCCACTCTAAATGTGGGTGGCATGATTCTATGGGCTGGAGTCTCTGGCTGAAACAGCAGGTGAAAGCGGGCAAAGCACCAGCATGACCTTGGTCTGCTTCTTGGCTGTGGGTGTGGCCAGATACCTCTTCTTCCCTGTCATGATAAACTGTATGTCCTAGATAGTGAACAAAAAGAAATCCTCCTTTAGGTTGTTTTTTGTTAGACTTTTGATCACAGCAGTGAGAAAAGTTAACTTTAACAAAGCAGCACCCTTGGACCAATGTCATTTCTTTACTTTTTAGGCCCTAGCTGGTAACTGTTTTCTCCTTCGTGAGTTGATGAATTTGAATTTTTTTTTTAACTTAGTTTCTGTATATAAAGGAAACCATGCCATATCTGTC